GAGTTGCTTAATATACTTAAAACTGTGGAGCCCAATGTCAAGGCTAGCACTGGACATGTCTTAGCTATTCATTCCTCCAAGGGCACTAAGAGGAAAATCAAAGGAAGTTTTAAGAAAACATCCAAAAGGGCTAAGGGCAATAACAAAGCAGTCAAAGCAGGCAAGGACAATACCAAATCTGGTGACCCATGCTATCACTGTGGAGTGAAAGGTGATTGGAAGAAGAACTGTAAGGCTTACCTCGCTAGCTTGAAGGGAAAGAAGTCTTCTGAAACTTCTACTTCAGGTATTTTTGTTATCGAGGTAAATATGTCTACTTCATTAGCTTCTTGGGTATTAGATACTGGATGTGGATCTCATATTTGTATAAATATGCAGGGACTAAAGAGAAGTAGATCACTGCAGAAAAGAGAAGTTGACCTGCGCGTGGAAAATGGAGCAAGAGTTGCTGCATTAGCTGTAGGGACATATTTCTTACCACTGCCTTCAGGCTTAATATTAGAATTAGAAAATTGCTATTTTGTTCCCGCCATTACTAAAAACATTATTTCCATTTCATGTTTGGACATGAATGATTTTTCAATTAATGTTAAGAACAATCGTTGCTCGTTTTATAAAGATGAGATCTTTTATGGTTGTAGTGTGTTGCAAAATGGAATTTATATTCTTGATACTGAGTCGTCTATTATCAGTATAGAAAATAAAGGCATAAAAGTGATAATCTAAATAATACATACCTCTGACATTGCAGACTGGGTCATATTAACGACAATCGCATTTCCAAGTTACATAAAGATGGATACTTGAGGTCAACTGATTTTGAATCATTTGACAAATGCGAGTCGTGTCTGTTAGGCAAAATGACCAAGTTCCCTTTTACTGGAAAAGGAGAAAGAACCACAGAACTGCTGGGACTAATACATACTGATGTATGTGGACCCATGTCAATAACTGCCAGAGGTGGTTTCTCTTACTTCATCACATTCACTGATGATCATTCTAGATATGGTTATGTGTATCTGATGAAATTCAAGCATGAAGCACTTGAAAAGTTCAAGGAATTCAAACTTGAAGTAGAGAAACGGACTGGTAAAAATATTCTCACGCTGAGATCAGATCGAGGTGGAGAATATTTAAAGGGAGAATTTTTAGATTATCTAAAAGAGAATGGGATTATCTCGCAATGAACTCCGCCATTTACACCGCAACATAATGGTGTATTTGAACGGAGGAATCGCACTTTGTTAGACATGGTGCGATCTATGATGAGCCATGCAAACATCCCAAAATCATTTTAGGGTCATGCACTGATTGCTGCGTTCAAATACGAGCTATGGAGAAGAAAAAGACCAAACTTATCTCACATGAAAGTTTGGGACTGTGACGCTTATGTGAAGCGAAATGAATCAGATAAGCTTGAGGCTAAATCTGACAAATACGTATTTGTGGGATATCCAAAAGAGACAATTGGATATCAATTTTATAATCTTGTTGAGAAGAAGGTGTTCATCTCAAGTCATGCCATATTCCTAGAGAAAGAGTTTATTCTAGGAGAGGGTAGTGAGAGGAAACTAGAACTTGAAGAAGTTCAAGAATCCACAGATACTGTTGACCAATTAGATGAACCTGAATCTGATCCTACACCTGTTGACGGACAGACTCTTGATCAGGATGTAGAGAACCCTGAGGACACTCCAGCTCAGCGTAAATCGAGTAGGATCATTCGACCTCCCAGAAGGTATAAATTCACGATTACTAATCAAGTATTATTAGTCGAGGATGATGAACCTACAAATTACGCAGAAGCGAAGTCAAGTGTTGACTCGAGGAGATGGCAAGAAGCCATGGAATTCGAAATGAACCCAATGTATGAGAACAAGGTTTGGACCTTGGTCGACCTTCTAGGTGGGATAAAACCGATAGGTTGTAAATGGGTTTACAAGAAAAAGGTTGATGTGGATGGAAACGTCCATACATACAAAGCAAGGCTAGTAGCGAAAGGTTACACACAAAAACAAGGCGTTGACTTTGATGAAACTTTTTTGTCTGTAGCCATGCTAAAGTCCATTGGGATTTTGCTTGCAATAACTGCATACTATGATTATGAGATATGGTAAATGGATGTCAAAACTGCTTTCCTTAATGGAAACTTACAAGAGGAGGTGTACATGACACAGCCTGAAGGTTTTGAATCCAAATGAGCCAATAAAGTATGTAAGCTAAATAGATCCATTTATGGATTAAAGCAAGCCTCTAGGAGCTGGAATCTTCGTTTTGATGAGACAATCAAAATGTTTGATTTTATCAAAAATGAAGATGAACTGTGTGTTTACAAGAAGATAAGTGGCAGCGCGGTCGTATTCCTAATATTATATGTTGATGACATATTATTAATGGGAAACGATATCCCAATGCTTCAATCGATAAAATTATAGTTGTCAAAGAATTTCTCCATGAACGATATGAGAGAAGCAGCGTATATCTTGGGAATCAAGATCTATACAGATAGATCTAAAAGATTACTAGGCTTATCCCAATCTTCGTACATAGATAAAATCTTGAGAAAATTTAATATGGAAGAGTCTAAAAGAGGTTTATGTCGCATGAGATTTATCTCTCAAAAGATATGTGTCCTAAGACACATGATGAAAGGAGTCGCATGGATAAGATTCCTTATGCTTCGACGATAGGATCTATCATGTATGCGATGCTATGTACGAAACCAGATGTTTCATATGCTCTAAGTGTTACGAGCAGGTTTCAAGCAAACCCTGATAAGAAAAACTGGATAGCGGTTAAGAACATTTTTAAGTACTTGAGAAGGACTAAAGATGTGTTCTTGATCTATGGAGGAAATGAACTGAGAATTCATGGGTATACTGATGCCAGCTTTCAAACTGACAAAGATGATAGCAAGTCTCAGTCAGGATATATGTTTACTCTCAACAATGGAGCGGTTAGTTGAAAAAGTTCCAAACAGGAGACAACTGCTGATTCAACAATAAAAGCCAAGTACATTGCTGCTTCTAAAGCAGCGAAGGAAGCTGTCTAGATCAAGAAGTTCATTAATGAACTTGGAGTCGTTCCTAGCATTGTTGATCCCATACCTTTATATTGTGAAACAATGGAGCCATCGCACAAGCGAAGAAACCGAGGTCTCATCAATGATCCAAACATGTGCTAAGGCGATATCATCTCATCATGGAGATTATACAAAGAAATGACGGAACAATAGAGCGAGTTCACACAGATGACAATATTGCAGATCCACTGACAAAGCCATTGTCACAACAGAAACATGATCGTCATGTGGACGCTTATGGTATTAGATACATAAGTGATTGAATCTAGTGCAAGTGGGAGTTTGTAAGTGTTATGCCCTAAATCCAATCTATTTAGGTTGTAAACACTTTTAATATGTTTAATGCATTTAATTTGGCAAGACCTATTGTTTATTTAAATTAATTTTGTGATAAATAATATTAAATAATAGAATCCGAAGATCCAAGTTTAAGTGATTTGTTAATCACAAGGAGTTGTGATTGTGAGATACAAATTACGTATGATTGGATCTTGAATAAACTATGGTCGTAAGTAATGACGAGATACAGATATCGTTAATACAGTTAGACCATCACGTGTGGCATTTCTTACTTGTGAAGTAAGTAACTGATCTCACGAGCTAAAGTGTAGTGATACTTAAATGAACACGTGGATGTTTTGTTATAGAACAAAACATTGGAGACCCGTTAAGAGATTTCACATGGATAACTATTTGAGTGTTAATGGTTAATCTCTAACGTTTGGTAGTGGAATTGGTCCTATAATTTGAGGTCGTCATAGTGTCTTGTATGAGGATAGTCATGCTTTGACGGTGTTGGATGTTGTTCTGCCAAGGGCCGCTAATACGACATCGTTCGGGTATGTCAAGAACCATATGAAAGTTGTGAATGACCAATAGAGGATTCGTCACTCTTAGATAGTAAGAGATTGTGATCTGCATTTCATTTAATTAAGTCAATAACGAAATCCTTGGCTAAAGTATACGTATAAGTCGAAAAGGAGTTTTCGACTCATATTGACTTAATAGTAGAATGAAAGATATGATCGATAATCGAGATTGACACACTTTCATATCTCATAGTTGATCGGATCATATTGACGAAGGGATTATAGTTTCATGGTAAACGAACAGTTTTGGTTTTGTCATACCACGTGACATTTCCCGTCACATGTGTTGCCCTGATACATTGCTAGATGTCAATTTGGGACGACGAGTGTGAATTTGTGATAAATTAAAAGGGCTTTTAATTTATCGGTTTTGATTAGATCAAAATAATATTTCACGTCGTTAGGTATCGTGGTCGGGAACCTAATGGGTCGCACACAAAGAGAATTGGAAGATTGCAAATTGCCAATTGATTAATTTAACAATTGTTGGATAAATTAATTAATTGGATTTGTTATTTATATTCCCGAATTAATTAATTGGATTAATTAATTTACGGACTGGGTTTAATTAAATGGATTAATTAAACATTGGACCCGACCAGGCCGAGCCCGTTTGGGTTTATATAAATACATGGCTAGGGTTTGAGGTCCATAAGGTTTTCATTATTTTTGCTGGCACAAGAGGGAAAATCCTAGCAGTTGCAATTTATTCTCTGTGTGGATTTCATTGGAGGCTGGACAATTGGACAGTTGTAGGAGACAGATTCAAGTTGCTGAAAAGAATAACGCAAAAGAGTTTGCAAAATCAAGAAAATGTATATTTTTCATCACAGTTCTTATCTAAATAAAAGTTGAATCCTGAATGGGAATTGAAATCGTTTAATTCCGTTGTGCATGTTTAAATAAATTTCCAACAGTCACGTGACACCATGTAAAATTTAATGTCAAACTCAATGTACTTGTAGCAGTATGATTCTAATTATTTATGGCACCGATGAACTTCAATTCTTTCTATTTTGAGGCAAGTGGTCTGCATGTGGGAGCCAAAATTGAAAAGGACAGTATTTAAAGAAACTAAACAACAATTAGTTTGTACGTACAATTCAAATTAACAAAGAACAAAGAAAGAGTAACGAAGTTAAACGCGATCAAATTCACTGCAAGTGCTGACACAAGGTAATTTTTTTCCCTATGGACCTTTATAGGAGGAAAAAAATACCTGAAAAGTTGAATATATTATAGAGGTACCGGCTCATGGTTATTTTTACCAATACTGTCTTTCATCAGTTTTAGGGGTGATCTTTGGTACTGTAAAAACAACTTCAGAGTCAAGACAATCTCCTGCCACATCCATAAGAGGAGCTCGAGATTTTGATAAGAAGCTAGTGTTTGGTGTGACCACTGGGTTTTGTCATTAGATGAAAATAGGATCAAAATCGCTTTCAACCTCATCATCATTTGTAGATGGTGAAATGATCTGATCATTAATCTGCATCAAGTCCCAAAAGATAACAAATATTTCAACAAAACTTATCTATACATGGAATACATAAAGATGTGTCATAAGATACATGGGCTAATTTGGTAGGGTTTTTGCTTCTTAGAGCTTCAAAAGGAAGATACTTTAGGTTAGTTTTCTCTAAAAGATTTTTTTTAACAAGATAAAACAGTTCTAGAAAATTATTCAACTATGTTAAAAAACAGCTTTTTAGCCTCAGGCAAAAGCTCTATCAAAAGGGCCTTAAAAACACTAAGGAAACTAGAAGGGCACCAAAAAAAAATTTTTGTTATATATAATAATTTTAAAATTTTAAATTTTTATTACTATGTTAGTTAAAGGGCACAATATTTATGGAATAAGGGGGTCCCGTTTTAAAATTTCACATAAGGCACCCTAAATTTCAAGGCCAGCCCTGAAGGGAACAAAAGTTGAGTTCTATTTCTAATTCAATCCTGCATGGTTTACCAAACATGCTTGCCTTATTTGGTATGATAATTAGACGGTTCAGTGAATAAGATTTTAATATATTTTTCTTCTTTAGTTTTGTGTTCTAGCATATAGTACATCCTAACAAATAATACACAAAATTCAAAGTTAAAATACTTAACTAAGTATTTACAAGAACTGTGTATACAAATTTGTGAGCTATATTAATAAATAATTTGGTGATTATTGTGTTTATTCTTGCTAATATCTTAGTTTTTAGTGGCTATCTTATATTTTCATAATAAATATCTCAAAGAAATGCACTGCAAATTAACCTTACAGAAAACATGAGAAGAAAAAGGATCCAGCAATTCTTCAACATGCCAACCAGGTAAAGTCTCGATTAAATACTCCGATATGCTACTCATTGACACCGAACCCTCTTGGCTTCCAGATCGATCCGACCCGTTATTATGAACTCTGCGAAGTGTAGTTGACGTTGACTCTGACGTGTTTACATCAGAATCTGTTTGAAAATTTTTATTGGCATTATTAGATCCAGTAATACTGAAGGATGTGGAAGCCTGATAAGAAGCTGCAAAAGCTGAAAGCTTAATTCCAGTGAGAAGAAATCTATTGTGGTTTTTGGTATATTCATTGGCTTTGTGTATTGGAATGTCACATTCTCTGCACAGTAGTGCTCTATCTTCTTGACAAAAAAGTAATGCCCTTCTCTCCTGTAAAAGGGTTCAAGAATATTACTCTGTCATTCTTGAAACTCAAAACATATAGTAATTTGATAGTATCATGTTGGCTAACAGTAACACCTCGACCAGCTTAAACTTTTAGACGGGGTGATTTAATAATAAAACGTGTAGTTTTACCCGGCAAATGTCACAGCGAGGCGAATCAATCGAGGAAGGATGAAGAAGAGAGAAACGGGGGTGTTTGCTAGCAAGTTTATTGGCACGATGGACTCTACAGTCACAGGCTTGGCAAAGTGCAGCTTCATCTGCTGTGCAGAAAATGTAAGCTTCTTCTTTCCCACAAACATCACATTGGATCTTCATTTCCCTTGCTGTGTGTAAATGTATTGCACAGAGAGATATATATAGAAGAGATTTGATAGAATAGAATCCGGAAAAAGACGAAGTTTTATGGGCATTTCTGTGTGGGGACAGTTAAGTTTTCAGGAGGCTTTAACTCTTGTAGCTGCTAACTGTAAAAGGAAATCTCAGGAAAAGATCTATCTCTTGTCTACACATTAATCTAACGATTTGATTGAATTAAAATCCTTAGAATGTTTTAAATATGGAAACATGGATTTGGGGGAATGGGTTGAGGGGTGGTTTCAAAGGATTGTAATTAAATCATCTAATCCGTTAGATTAACTTAAATGAGATTTTTTGTCAAAATTATTTATAAAAAATATTGGGAGGGGAGCCTCCCCAATGTGTGTGTATTCAAATTGGGTTTGTCTGGAACTGGAGGCATGGGGTGTATGGGATGGGAGACTTCTGTTATCTACCCATTTATTGATCTAAGCACTACTTCACTTCGAATTGGATAACCTACATACGTGTACATAAATAGCTACGGTGAAAAGAAAGGTGGACAGTCTAAGTTGTGCCTAGATCGAAAAAGACGCATCTTATTTTTCCGTCTTAACATCTAGAGTTGCCTTTCTTATTTTCTTTTCTATCTTATATAGATCTTATATAATTGTAAGAATTAATTACTAGTAATTATAATTATAGTATTTATGATTTCGATAACATTTTTTTTTGAAAACTTGAAGAGTATGTATGAAGTTCCTATAAATTTTCATGGTACACATTTATTTATTTATTTATTTATTGATCTAAAACAATATTACAAATAGGAAAACGTCCTATTATATCTAAGCTTATAAGATTTAAAACTTGACTTTCGTGCTTCATCACATCTTAACCTTGAAATACTGACGCCGGGTAGGATAGTGATTATCCTATTGGCTTGTTGTAGCAGATGATTCGCAAGAAAAGAACGACAGAAAACGTCCAAAAACCAGAGAAAATACTCTGAATTCAA